CCCATGCTTTCCTGCTTGCATCCTGTCATTCTTCTCCAGCTCCTTACCCACAGCTCGTCCTGACCCCCCAGCTACCCACGGTGCCCTTCTCAGGGGTGACAGATGGTTGCACATGTCCTTCTAGGATCTCTGCGTTCTCCCTGGGAGCGTTAGGAGGCCTAGACTTGTAACCCACGCCGTGCTGCTTTCACTTTTTTCCCCCTTTGGCCTTCTAGATTATTATCGATTCCCCCCTCCCCTTACTTGCTAGCTTCCTTTTGATTGCTATTTGTCTGAGTTGAGTCAGTGTTGCTGTGTCTTCTTTCATTTCTCTCTAGGAATTTGCTTACGTCAGTGAGACATGGAAGAAGTTACATTTGCAAACTTACTGTCCTGTTGGTCACTGAGGATGCATTCTAGGCTGCTTTTCTTGAGTAGCAGACACTGCTAAGAATTCGGAGGAAAATTCTTTATTAGCTGTTCTGGTAGTGGAGGATGTGAATCTGAGTACTAACTGCTGTAGACAGAATTTATGTCCCCTTCCCGCCCCCCAGATCTGTATGTTGAAGCCCTAACTCCCAATGTGATGGTATTAGGAGGTGGGGCCTTTGGGAGGTGATTAGTTGTAGGTGAGGGTGAAGGTGGAGCCCCCACATGATGAGATTAGTGCCCTTAGAAGAAGAAGAGACTAGAACCCTCTTTCTCTCTCTGTCCTCACATTGCAGAGACAGCAGCTGTCCACAAGCCAGGAAAAGGGTTCTCACTGCAACCCAACCCTGTTGGCCCCCTGATCTTGGACTTAGAGCCTCCAGACTATGAGAAATCAGTTTCTGTTTAAGCCATCCAGACTCTGGTGTGTTTGTTACTGCAGCATGAACTAAGGCATTAACTAAGTCAAGTACTGGCCAGGGAATTAAAGTACCCATTCTTAGCCCACCGGGCATCCCATTTGAGACCAGAGGTTTGTGTGGACAATACCCTGCATTATAAAGGCTGTGCAGGATTTCCAACTTCAAATTCTCTCTTGATGCACATGTGAAGCCTAAGCAATTCATTGTTGAGACGGCTTCAACCTAGCCTGTGTTCCAGCTATCTTCAGCGGCTGATGTCACACCAGCGCCACGTGACCTCCTCAGCCCAGTTGCTGTTGTTTTTAATCTAAGGAAAGCCCATTAAAGGAAGCATTAGGGTATGCGTGGAGACCAAGGAAAAACCACAAATCATAACATGCTCCCCGAGGTGTGTGCGTGAACTGAAAAAGGGAGTATCTTACATGTTAATAGGAGCTTAGAGTAGGGCTGCCAGATAAAACGGCAGGATTGCCAGTTACATCTCGATTTCAGATAAGCAATGAATCTTTTTTAAGTATAAGTGTGTTCCATTGGGTGTCTGGTGTTCGGTCTTTGAGCCTTACTGCTCCAAGTGTGGCCCCAGAATCTGCAACAACTCCATGTTCTGGAAGCTTGTTAGAAAAGCAGAATCTTAGGTCCCACCCCAGACTTACTGAGCCGGAATCGGCACTTTTCACAAGCTCCCCAAGACTGTAGCCTGCACATTAACATTTGGGAAGCGCTGTTTAGAATTCACAGCCTATTTTCATAGACATGATCGCATTGGTCTTTAAATTGTCCTGGGAGATTGGCAAGGGAAAGGGAAGCAGGGAAGAGCCTCTCCTGACAACCAGTCTTTTTGGTGGAATGGAGACCTCAATGCTCACAGGTCATCGGCATACACACAATTTCTCCCTCGAACGGCATAGCCTCTTCCTTCTACCTCCCCTCCTGTTTCCAGACCCGCCTAGCTCCTGAAGCAGAGTGAGATCTGTCAGCAATGGCTGACGGTGGGAGCAGGAAGTTGAGGGCGGGTCCTTATTCTAGAGGAGCCTCTGCTCCCAGACCCTTGACCCTCTCCACACAGCAGGTTCACCCAGCGGCCGCCATAGCAGCCACCTCTATGGGTATCCTGCTTTTTCTGTTTAAAGTCATCATCAGTGTCAACAGGAGCCATTCACTTAGTCACAGCTCTTTGGGAAAAGACAATACATTGGAAGAAATGGACATATCCCTGGTAGGAGTCATTTTGATTTCAGATATGCTAACATGTGAAACAGTTATGCTCCTGAATCCAGGAAGTATGGTAACAAGCTGTGGGGTAGCGTTCAGAAAATAGCAGGGACAAATATGGGTGTTGGAAGACAAGCCAGATCAAATGCTTAGGTGGGAGGAGAGGGCATTGCGAGTGGGTGTGCATGGAAGAATGTGGCTGCAGGAGTCGGATGGATAAAATATAAAGGGAGGAAGAAATGTCTACGCTGTCAGTGGTCTCGTCAAGCAGGCTTGAGTTAGGAACTCCAGACCACGACAAGGTCTATCAGTGCTAATAGGCACCTCTGTTCCACAATCCATTAACCCTGTTGATAGAATTTTTTTTTTTTTTAAATCAACGTTCTGGTTCTTTGATAAGAATAACCTTTCTTTCTTTCTTTTTTTACATGCATCCCAAATTTTTAGAAGGCCTATTATCTGAAAATCCATACTTAAAATGTAAGGAAAAATAGGTTATTACCTGCATTACAAGTGGATTTTAAACTTACAAAACAGTGGAATTGAAAAAAATTCTCTCACGTGTTCCTGGATCAATTAATATTTGGGTGAGAATGAGAGGAAAGCTTCAGTTAAATTAATTCAACAAGTCTTTACTGGTTATCTACTTACTATGCTATTAAATATAAAGTTATTAAGATTTCATGGCAGTGGAAGAATTTTAAAAAGAAACTATGAAATTTTAATTTTTCAGTGGGGATATAATTTGAGTCATAAATATTTGACAGCCTCATTTAAAAAAATGGTAGACTGGATTAGATTCTAGAATATCCTTGCAAATGATTATACTGCATTAAATTTGATAATTTCACTCACCTGCATAAATTTCCCTAATGGGCTCCCATTTACCTTGGATTAAAATAAAATCTGGTCCCTAAGTACTGATCTGGGTGGTTCTCCACCCACACTGTCCTTTCCCAAGCCTACAGTGCAACAGTATGGCCCTTGAAGTCCCCTCTCCTGCCACTGTGCTTTTCATTGGTTGACAGACACCACCACTATCATAGAGTACTTAAATCACGGAGTCTTGCAGAGTGCCTGGGCAGAGGGAGTGCTTAATAACATTGCTGTTGGATGGAGGGACTGAATGAATGAATGTAGGTCCGCTAAATCTTTTATAGAGCTAAGGATTTGTTTCATTTGTTCTCCTAACCGGGGGAGAAAAATATTTAGCAGCCATTTGTTTTAGAGGCAGGAGGATGTTGACGTAAAAGAATACTGGGCTAGGACTTGGGAGATTTCCAGCTTTCAGCCTTGCTAGTTGGGCAACCTTGGACTAATCATTCACCCACCCGGGTTCCTGATCTGTACAATGTGGAATTCGGCTAAACCCGGTCTCCCCTAGCTCTAGCTTTAATGGCCACCAACTTCTCATTCTTTTTCTTGATGGAGTGTTATGTAGTCCCCTCCCCAATCCCTTCCTGCAACATTTCTTTATCTTTCCTTTTGTGTAAGCACTAATAGCCAGCAACCTGTGTAACCATGGGAATGTAGTTCAAAACACAGCCTTCATTTCAGCCAAGGCTGAAAGGTAAACACAGATGGGTAACAGAGCAGCTCAGAAAATCAACCACTTTATTCATCAGGCCATCTGGTCATCCTTTACAGTGTCTTTCTGTACAATCATTAGGAAAAGACACATTAGAAGCTGTTAAATTTCACAGCTGAATTTGCTGGCCAAAGGTCTTCCTACAAGGCCGGACCCTGATAAATGACTAAGCATTTTTGAGGGGCGTGTTGTTGATATGACAAATATGTCTTCCCTCGTGATCTAAGATTTGGACATTGATATTCTGGAGCAACTTGAAATGATTACAGCTCTTTCTATAGCTGTCTTGTTTTTGCCTTGCTAAGCGTACTGGGGAGTCAGTATGGCTAATAATATCATTACTAATAGATGCTAAAAAATTCAACTCAGCCATGTGAGAAATAACACCTAATGAGCACCTCACTTGCACCCCCGCTTAGCTTCTGCAGTTTCTTCTGAACTTAATATCCATGGATCTTCCTGTTTCCTTTTGATCACAGAGGCTTCATCTGCTTGAAAACGCCCACTAAGGCCCAGAACAGACCCCGTCCCCCCCCCCCCGCCCTTAACTTCTGCACCTGCTGGTCAATCCCCAAAGACTCCTTGAGTCCAATTTACCAGCTGCTCTGCCCACCTGCATCCCCGCTGAGGCGTGCTTGGGCAGCCTCCTCTCCTGGTGTCCTGCCTTGCTCACCAGCTCCCAGCCAGTTCTCCTGTCCAACTCCTCCACCCTAGGAAAACTCAGGCCAACCCCATTTCTGGGCTGAATTAAGAAATTCAGAAATTCCACATCAAGTGGCAGCAACCCTGGGCAGCCGAGCAGGATGAACACAGAGCCATCTCCCATCCGGAGATCCCAGGGGGACTTTTCAAGGCAGGGAACCTATGAGAACACTTTCCTGGTTGTCCCTTGGTCATTTTCTTTTTCCCTTACCCTTCCAATGAGCCCATCAAACACTCTTTTTCTCCAAGGGTGAAAAATATTGCACTTGAACTTTCACTTCCTGTTTAACTTGTGATGGAAAGAACAGTGCGCCCTGCACATTTCACTCTGGATAAAAATAGCTCTGCTGTCTTCAAGTCATTAAGCGAACATAAAAGGCGCTTTGTGATCTCAGGATATCCGTAACCTGGCATCTGTCACCGTTCCTCCGTCCTCATCCAGGGGCGAGGCATTCAGAACAAGGGTTCCACGCTTAATGGTGCCTTGAGAGTAAGTGCTCCCAGGTGCCCATCAAACCTGTCACTCTGAACTGCTGTCGCTAGGTGACGACGTGTCCCTCCACCCTCCGTTGATTTTTGCATAAACCGGCCCGTAGAGTTGGGCCAGCAGAGCCTTCCAGGGCTGGCTGCGCAATGCCCTGACCAGAAGAACGGTGAGTCCCCCTCACCTGGCTTTGCTGTGCCCATTCCAGCACTCCTCTTCGTTGGCCGCACCTGCTGTCATGCTCTCATCCTTGCAGATGGTGTAGGGCAACGCCGACCAGACCTTTTTAGAGAGCTTCAGTTTCTCTTTTATGTCTGTGACCTGATCAAGAAAGCAAGGAAAGACAGTGACTAGTCTCCCCAGCTGTTGCCCATTTCTACACAAGGACACGACACAGGTGAAGGTTAGAGAATCTGTGATAGGACGAGCACAAACTCTCAGTTTTAAGAGAGAGACTCCCTGCTGCAGGATTTATTGCCCAGGCAAGCCTCCCTACCTCCTCCCTCAATCTTCCTCTAGCTCCTGGCAGAGAGTTCGCAGGTAATTGGCTTTTGTTTTCCATCTTTTCTGTCTCCCCATGCTTTGAATTAAAAACTTACGAAGCATCTCAATGGCTTCAGGTCCCTCTCTGGCTGGGAAAAATATGTGTTCCCTATTGCAGATTTCCCTAAATATATTCTTTAGAATTCATTTGCTTGGATGTCAGATAAATGCACAAAAACAATGCACCGAGAGACAAAATGCTTTCCCCAATGGTCTATTTGTTTCTGTAAGAAATAAATATTGTCACTAATTTGACTGCTGGTAACCTCTGCTCTTAAGCGATGGACAGGTCTATACAGTGCACACTTGGATGGTGAGTAGCAACCCAAACCCACTTAAAAATCTCTACAGCAGAAAAAGAAAAGTCATTCCAAATACAGGTAAGTGTAAAATCCTCAGCCCTATGGATGGTTGGAGGGGAAGAGCTTAGTAACCCCATCTTTAGTGTTTTCAGGCTCAGCACTGACTTTTCACCTGCAGAAAGAGTAGAGACAGGGATTCAGTACCATTTTGGTTCCATAGTTAACATCTAGGTTCATGCAGTCACAACTCTGATTTTCTATTCTATTCCCTATGTGAACATTGGGAACCTATGGATAGTTGAAATGCATCTGTTGTAGGTTGAATTATATTCCCCCACATTCACATGCTGAAGTCCTAACACTCACGCCCTCAGAATGTGACCTTATTCAGACACAGGTTTTTTGTTTGTTTGTTTGTTTGTTTTTTACAGAGGTAATAAAAGTTAAAATGAGATTATTAGAATGGCCCTAGTCCAAAGGGAAACTTGGGACACAGAGATATGCATAAAGGTAAGACAATGTAGAGAAAGACCTAGAAAATATTGTCCCCTCACAGCCTCAGGAAAAACCAATCCTGCTGACATCTTGGTTTAGGACTTCTAGCCTCCAGAGCCATGAGACAATAAATTTCTGTTCTTTAAGTGGTATGTTGATACAGCAGCTTTAGCATACCCACAAGGCATCGTAGAAGGGACAACCACTGAGACTTACTGGCATTTTGTATTTGAGATCGATAGCCTTTGGAAATAAAGTATTCAGTGTTTACTGTGGATGGAGTATAGAGTTTTAGAAAACAATTCCAAAGGTCTTTTGTCAGGTTTAAGAGTAAATACAAAGGAATATGGAACCTCTGTTCCAATCATGTTTCCCAGCAGCTCCAGATTTATATAGTCTTTGGCCCTTGCTTCTCTGTGATTCTGATGATGACAAGAGGCTTCAGTACTGTGAAATGTCTGCTCATCCATAAGGCCTGAAGATGATCAGAATACTGAATTTGAGAATCTGGCACATACCCTTAAATAGTGTGATGTTACTTTTGTTTCAGAGCGTGAAGAGAATCCTTGGGTAATGACATTCCAAGAAGTAGCTTACACAAAACAAATGTTTAGGATGGCTTGAGACCTGCACTCTCTGATTTCCCCCACTGATGCTGACTTTGGTCCACGGGCTACCCTAACCCCTGGCTGTCCTTCTGGCCAATCTGACTGGGTAAGGAGCTTTTCAATGAGAGTTAGTCCTTTTCAACTACTTTGGGCACAGATGTGTGTGTATGTTTTTGTTTTATATTTTTTGCTTGAAAGACATGTGGCCATTTCTATCCAGCTATAGAGGGATGAACATTCTGTTTATCAATTATAAAAAAACACAATCCCAAAGCCAACTAATAAATGTTGAAAGTGACAGAAAAATCACCATTCTGCAGCCATCATAGTAATAATTGATCTCAGCAAATATTAGCTACAGATGCTGCTGTGGGTTGAATTGCATCCCTCCCAAAAGATGTTGGAGTCCTAACCACAGTACCTGTGAATGTGACTTTATCTGGAAATGGGGTTGTTGCAAAAGATCAGGTTAAAATGGAGTCATTAGGGTGGACTCTACTCCAATATGACTCTGTCCTTATAAAAAGGGGGAATTTAGGCACAGGGACAGATATACACATGGAGAACACCATGTGAAGATGAAGGCATGGATCAGGGGGATACATTTACGATCCAAGGAACATCAAAGATCGACAGCAATCCACCAGAAGCTAGGAGAGAGTCAAGGAACAGATACGCCCTCATAATCCCAGAAGAAACCAACCCCACTGACACCTTGATCTTACACTTCTAGCCTCCCAATTGTGAGACAGTAAATCTGTCATAAGCCACCCACTTGGTGGTACTTTGTTACAGCAGCCCTCACAAACCAGTACAAATGCAAAAAACGCTGGGTGAAAGTTTGATGGGGCATAGGATGTTTGCACAATCTCAAAGTATTTACCACAGATTCCTCATTATTACAAAAGGAAAACTGGTCACTCTACAGTGTAGAAACTGGGCCAGCCCCCACCTTAACCATGTGATCAAAGTAGTGGGACAAAGTGATTTGGGGTGTCTCCAGATGTGAGGTGACAAGAAGGACACATCACTTATGTGGCTGAAATTCATAACACAGGTCCAATCATGAGGACACATCAGACAAACACAATGTCCCAGGTGATGGACATTCTATGAGAAAATTGGCTTGTACACTTCAAAAATGTCAGTCATAAAAGACAAGGGAAGGCTGAATACTTCTTCCAGATTAAGAGGAATAAGACACATGACATTCAAATGCAGCATATGATTCTGGATTGGGCACTAGGTTGGAAAAATAATTGCCAGAAAGGATATTATGGAGATAGTTGGCAAAATTTGAATATTGACTCTATATTAAATAATACTGTGTTGTTGTTGAAGTTTCTGAATATGAACTCATATTGTGGTCATATGGGAGACCGTCGTGTTCTTAGGAGATACACACTGGACTATTTAGAGTTAAAGGGTTATGGTTTCCACAGCTTACTCTAGAATGATTCAGGAATCATCATCATCATCATCACATAGATGTATAGAGATAGAGCAAGATAGCAAATGTGACAATTTTTTTAAAAGATTTATTTATTTATTTGAGAGAGAGAGAAAGAGAGAACACATGCACACATGAGAAGGGGGAGGGGCAGGGGAGAAAATCTCAAGCAGACTCCCCACTGAGTGCGAAGCCCAATGTAGGGCTCGATCCCAGGACCCATGAGATCATGACCTGAGCTGAAACCAAGAGTTGGACGCTCAACTGCCTGAGTCACCCAGGTGCCCTGCAAATGTGGCAAATTTTTAATGCTGAATGAATCTAGATGGAAGTATACAATTTTTTAAAAATGCAATTTTTCAGTACATTTGAATTTTTTTCAAAATAAAACATGTCAAAAATAAAATCCCTTGCTTGATTTGTTCTTCAAGGTGCCACACTGGTGTCCCTCACCTTTGCAACCTGGGCTTTCACCCCTAAGCTACTCATTTTTTTTTTTTAAGATTTTTTTTTTTATTTATTTACTTGAGAGAGAGAGAATGAGAGATAGAGAGCACGAGAGGGAAGAGGGTCAGAGGGAGAAGCAGACTCCCCGCTGAGCAGGGAGCCCGATGTGG